CCCTCATCCCAGCCCTACACGCTGTTGAGCTTCACTTGGTCCCTTCTGCCCAAGGCTGGTAGAGCCAGTTTCAAGGACAGACTGCCCAGCCTTGTCTACTTGTTCTCAAACATGCCCTCCTCCTGCCTTGTCGCCAACACAGCCTGTGCCACCTGGCCCCACGGGGGCTTATGGGTGCTCACTGTCGTTCCAGGAGGTACTGGACCGGCGACGGTGGAAACGGCAACTCTTGATGCGACGAGTGGCCGCCTTGTGGATGTACACGGAGTTCTTCATGATGACCGGCATCTTGGCCTCCAGCTCTGCATTCCGGATGCACTCCTCGAAGAACCCTATGGTGACACGAAGGAGCAGTTGATCGCATCTTTATTTGGACCTTTGGACCTGTCCTTCGAAGTTCTCCTTTGAGGTGGGAGATACATCAGTCTATCCTTTACAGAACACAGTTCCTCCTCTAACCACAGCCTGTGACTATCATAAAGAAATCTGCTGGGAACAGAGCTCTGAGCTTTGGAAAAAGAGGACAAAATTTCAGTCTTTCCTCCCATACCCTCACCCCAGGCCCAGCTGCCACAAAGAGGCAGTGCCAGAGGGACTCCTACAGGACGGTGTCTGGAGAAGGAACTCCAGGAAGGACACCACACACATGCAGGCCCTGTTCCAGGCTCTCGGGGACTCGGCTTAGGGGGCTGAGCTCTGGGAATGAGGCTGGGCCCTGGAGGGAGGCCTTACTCTTCAGGTGGCTCACGTCAGCCCGCATCCTCTCTTCCTTCTCCTTGTTCCGAACTTTGGAATTGAGCCCTTGTTCCAAGCTCCGCAAGGCTGCCTCTGCCTCCCGAAGCCGTCTCTCCAGGTCCATGCGTACCTTCACTTCAGCCTAGATGGAGGGAAGCCGAGTACAGGGAGCAGTCTCCACCTCCCCAGAAGCCTTCTGCGATGCCTTGTTTTCTTTGCTAATTGGACCCGAGTTAGGATCTCCTAGGAGACACACCTGTGGTGTGTTGTGAGGGCGTCTCCAGAAAGGTTTAACAGGGGGTAGAGAATGCACCCTGAGTGTGGGTGGAACTGTGTCATGGGTTGAGGCGGCAGACTGAATAAGAGGGAAAGGGGAAAAGGGATATATTCATCTCTCTGCTCCCTGACGGCAGACACAATGTCACCAGCTGCCTCAAACTCCCACAACCATGAGTTCCCTGTCATGACAGACTACAACCCCTCAAACCATGAACCTTCCCTCCTTAACTGCTTTTGACAGGAACGTCATCTCAGCAATGAGAAAAATGGCTGGGACACCTTTCCCAATCATCTTGGGCTCAATGGGAGTGGATGGAAGTTTCCACATCTTGGTTCTACACCTTAGCAGATGCTGGGCATGGCCCTGTTCCTAACACTTGTCTATCAATGATAGAGAGACCGCTACCTCTTTGTACCAGGAACTCTCCATAGAGAGACGTACTGGGAGGGTCATTTAGACCGCTACCTCTTTGTGCCAGGAACTCTCCATAGAGAGGCGTACTGGGAGGGTCATTTAGACCGCTACCTCTTTGTGCCAGGAACTCTCCATAGAGAGACGTACTGGGAGGGGCATTTAGACCGCTACCTCTTTGTGCCAGGAACTCTCCATAGAGAGACGTACTGGGAGGGGCATTTAGACCGCTACCTCTTTGTGCCAGGAACTCTCCATAGAGAGACGTACTGGGAGGGGCATTTAGACCGCTACCTCTTTGTGCCAGGAACTCTCCATAGAGAGACGTACTGGGAGGGGCATTTAGGGCAGCTGTTTAGTACAGGGATGGGCAGGAGTCCCCAGCAGTGGGAAGGGCCTGGAGCGCGGGCTGCACACCTTGAGCTCCCGCTCGGCCTGCTGCTTCTCCGCTGTCAGCTCCTGAAGGGAGTTCTGCAGGGCTTGAGACTGGCTTGAGTAGAACTCCCGTTCCTCCTCCAGGGCCCGTGAGCGTTCTTCGTTCTCCTTCATCCTGCGGGCAGGAAGGGTGCTTACTCAATGCTCGCCTACAAAGGGGGTTGCTCCTGCTACGGACAGCTAGAAAGAGGCTTGAGTCCTCTCTGGGTCCAGTCAGATGGGTATTAGAGGGGTGGTGTGGAGTGAGGGGAGCCCTAGGCTTAGAGGTTCAGGGACTGCCACTTCTCTGACCTCGGGTGGTCCTCCGAACCCAGTGAGGTTCGGTTTCTTCATGGGTTTGGGTGGATAGAAGCTAAGGGAACCTGCTGGCTGGCCACAGGCACTGTTCTGAGGACCTGATGTTGCTCTAAATGGTTTGTCAAGTCAGATTTAGAAAGCCAGGTCATTGACAAAAAGGAAGTAAGTAACCCGTCTCATCAGTGACAACTGGAACTCAAGTCCAGTTGTGTAACTTGAGGGCAGTTCCAGCTCCCAAGTTGCTGAAGGACCCAGTGGCCTCGGGTGACTCACCTCTTCTCTGCCAGAAGCTTCTCTGCCAAAAGCTCCTGCATCCGCTCTTCGATCTGCCTGAGGTTGCTATGGAGACCATCACTGGCAAGTGGCTGCTCACTCTCATTGGTCAGTGGCTGTGGCTGGTTCTTATCTTCCTCCAGCATCTCCAGGGTTTTCTTCTTCTCTATGGAGAGTTCCTGGCACAAAGGCAGGGAAGGGCGAGAAGGATCACCGTTAGTTCGCCAGCATGGCTGCCCTGGTCTCCTTGCAATTGCAGGGAGTGATCTACTCTTCCCTCAATCCTCCACCTCCTGGCATGCCTCATTCCAAGATCTCATTTCTTACAACATGGCCAGGTTACTCCCCCATCAAGACAGACAGACAAGGAGAAACCCAATGTGACTTCCAATAGAGAGGGTACCTATCAGGGTCAGGCCCCAAGCTCACTTCAGGTGTTGGGCTTTTGGGAAACTGCTAAGATATGGCCAAGTGAAGTCCACAGTTTTGAAAATACAACCCACAATGTTTATCCTATAACACATGTGTAAAATGCATGGGAACACAGAGCAAATACCTACCTAGAAGGATCAAGGAAGCTTGACTAAAGAGATATTTTGACTGAGTCTGAAGGCACATGATTCTCCAAAGAAGAGATAAAAGGATCTGTTGTACAGACGCAACAGTAGGACAGAGGGGTGGGGGATCAAGAAGCCCGTTTTCCTCTGGGACATGAGCTCAGTGGTTGGAACAGGGGCTGGAGTGTCTTTGAGCAGGTGGTGGATGGGCAGCTGGGGAGGAAAGGCTGGGGAGGGCTGTACTTGTACGATAGACTAAGAAGTTTGCGCTCTGTCCTTGACACATGCTTCTTGCCACTCCCCCTCTCGGTTTCTTGTATCCGATGAGGGTGACCTAGAAGCTGATTTCCCTTCATGCTCAATTTCACCCAGGAGCAGCTAAATGAAGGAACCACAGAAGGATGTGGTGGGTGACTCCATCGCCCACTCTAATCAATACTGCCTCTGGTATAAACCCCCAGCACTATAGAAAGCGGTCTCCTGAGGCCACGGTCGTCACAAGGGCAAGCTGGAATGTTTGTTCTGGGTCTGGAAGAACCAGTCAGTGCTTTGGGTTTCATGTGTTAGCTAGAGTTCCCAACCATCCACAGACAGGCTCCTTTAGATAAACTTCCCACCATGCTCATTCTCCTGTTGGCACCTTCCCTGGGAGATAAATGAGAAATCCAGTGTCATGTAGCCCAACCCACCAGCTTGCCTCCTGGGCAAGCAGGCCCCTCACCTCCAGTGTGTGCTGTAAGGATTCTGTGAGATGCCTCAGCTCCTTCTTCTCTTGCTCCACACCCTTGAGGCATCTTGCAGTGAGTTCTAGCTCCCTGTGGGGATGGAGAGCTGGAATGGCAGCGCGTACCCTGCCCAACATCTGCATATAGACATGCTTCTGTCGTCCCTGATGTGGCACAGCAGGGCCTTCGGACAGCCAGTTCTCTGCGACACCGGGTGCTGTCAGCCGCAGCATCAGGGCTGCAAGGAAGGCTCAGCCACACGAGGAGGGTTCACTTACCACATAGAGTGAGGCCCTGGGACTTAGCTTTTAATTCAGTGTCTAGCAAGTGTTTGATCTCTTACTTAGGGAGATTCTCTTATTTGTGTGCTAACTTTAAAAATTAGGAAAAAGAGCCCCTGCATTTCTCCCTCCCCCAAACGCATATCTAAGTGGTTCCCTTTAATAAGGTTGTCACAAGTGTCTCTGGGCTATCACTCATAGTCCATGGTGGTGGTGGAGATGGTGGTGGAGGTGTGACGGTATGACATGGAGTACCATCAATAGCAGAAGTAGTTTCCAAATTCTGGATAGACTACATCGGAGTCACCTGGGTTGGGGATATATACACATTCTACCATCATGAGATTATAATGTAATTCATGCTTATAAAGGGTAACTAGATCTGTAAATAATACATCAGATTAAAGATCCCATTGTGTCATTAACTAAAATGTGAAAGGACCACAGGAGAGACGGAGGATACTGGGGGTCTTTGTGGACAGCACTTCTAGGCCAGGTCAACTTGGTGCCAATAACTTGGGTAAGTGGCTCTCACAAAGGTAGGAGGGGCTTGTTCCTTGAGGAAGGCTGGCCTGTACTCACCCATGCCTCACACTCTTGTTCATACCAAGGCAAGAGATCATTATCAATGGTTAGAAATGACCTACTAGGGCTGAAGTGATGGCTCAGCCATTAAAGGCTAGGCTCACAAAAAATGTAAGAAATGATTACTGAGGCGGCGGCAGGGAAGGGGGCATATTTTCTGGGTACACTAAAGACCTGGAGCATTGGGAAGACCAGGTCATACGTGTTTCCTGGTAATGCCCTCTCCAGGTCTGTCTGCACATGGGTCTGCCAGGACTAGAAAATCCCCTATTGCTCCTCACAGGGCCAGGGTACTCCCTGTTGGGGAAGTCCTGTTATTTGCCTGTTATTTGTCAATAAAGTACTGTTGAGCCTATAGGAATCTAGATAGGTGGGGCTAGGAGTCCAGGAGGATTCTGGGAAGGAGAAACACAAGAGAGTCAACATGTAACGCCATGGGGGTAGGAAGCCTGGAACTATTCTCCGGTAAGAAACATACTTAGATTAACAATTATGGGGTAATTACTTAAGTCAGAGCTAGCTAGTAAGAGACAAGCAAGGCCAACAGCTTCATAATTAATATAGCCTCCTGTGTGTTTATTTGGGACTGATGCGGATCTGGGACCAGGCGGGCGAGAAGGCTCCTCTCAAGGAAAGCTTCTCTTAACAACTCCCCCTGCTGCCCCCTCCCCAGGGGCAAGGCATCCCCACATTGCCCCTCCGAGCATCAGGGCATGCCCCCACTTTCCCTCCCTGGGTCAGGGAATCCCTGCTATTGTCCCTCCCAGGACCTGGGCATGCCCTCTCCCATTTCCCTCCCAGGACCTGGGCATGCTCCTCCCATTTCCCTCCCAGGACCTGGGTATGCTCCTCCCATTTCCCTCCCAGGACCTGGGCATGCTCCTCCCATTTCCCTTCCCAGGACCTGAGCATGCCCTCTCCCATTTCCCTTCCCAGGGCCTGGGCATCCTCCTCCTCTTCTCCCCTGTGCTATCCCTCCAAGGGTGGGGCATGACCCACTGCCCCTCCCAGGACCAGGGCAATCCCTGCCCCAGTGCTATCCCCTCAAGAGCCGGGGTGTGCCCTCCCTGATGCCCCCCAGGACCAGCCATCACCTCTTGATCTGCTCTTGCTCCACTCTGAGCTCTTGTACCACCTCCTCGAACTGCTGCTTCTCGGCCTCCAGCACCTGGTTCAGGCGCTCAAGCTCCTGAAGAGAAGGGGCACGTCACAGGTGGTGCAGGGCCCTAGCCTCAGGAGATTCCTCCTTATGCTAGCCCAGAGGACACTCCAGGATTTGGCTCAGCCTGGGGCACAAGCGCCTAGGCTCCATTCAGTGGTATGCAGTCTCAACTAACCCAAAAGCGTGATGAACCTGTGCCATGACAACCATCAGCAAGAGGAAGGACAGGCTTAGACATGTCCCCAACAAGGATCCTCTTAATACATGTGATGGTAATTCTGGATGCTGCTCCACTGGGCAGCTCTAGGGGTTAACATCCCAAGGTGAAGTGGCTGTGCCTTAAGCATGGAAAAACAAAAACAAAAAAAATCCGTGGAGTGTGTATTTCCAGGATACAGAATGACATCAGGTATAGTGGCAAAGCCAAGCTATTCCCAACCCAAGATTTTCTTTATTTGTAGGGATGAGTCAGGTGGACAGCTTCCCTCTCCTCAGACCTATGGGAATAGGAGTGTTGGAAGGCCCAGGACAAGTCCCAGGGGGCCAGACCAGTCCCTTCAGGGAAGCCAGCCAGCCTGAATGATTCTCCCAGAAAGTTGGAGCCTCTAGGTTAGGGGTCCTGTTACCCCTGGGTCAGTAGCAGATGGTATTAGGGATCCATTTCACCAAGTTCATAAGTTGTTTTGTTTTGTTTTTTATGTCATCTGCTTTGTTCCTCTACATTTTATGTTGTGGAAGCATTTTGTTTCTGCATCTGCTCTCTCACTTTCCAGTTCCAAATTATTCTCTGGTCCCCTGGGGGCTTTGTTCTCAAGTATAATGGCATCCTTGCTAGGGAATGGTATGCCTATGGAGGTCAATGTTGCTTTGAAGAGATGCAGAGAGGGAATAAAATACATAGAGGAGAGTCTTATTTTAATCCACACACCTAAGTTTCTTGCCCAAGTAAGCTACTTCTTTCTCGTCTAATGTTTACTGACACATGGTTACAAACTGCCTCAGTTTGCTAAATGTGGTCACCACCACCTGGGCTGCTCCCTGGCATTCTGATGCCCCTGGGCACATGCAAGTCTATAGGTAGCAGGGCTCATGGGAGTGGCTGAGGCAGATGTGAGCAGGAGAGCAGATATCTTTTGAAAAGATGATGTGTGGTAGCCCATGGTTCCTTTCTCCTGGCATAGGTAGGGGGTCCCCTTAGTCTGGGTCCCCAAGAATGAGGACACATGAGACAGGGCTCCAGCCAGCCCAAGTAGCCATTTGTGCTACTAAAAACCATGGACATATAGGGGCTTTTGGTAACTGCAGAAGCCATGACCTAGCCTATATCTATATTTGACATGTCATATCTAAATAAGATATAAATTAAATTTGTGTTCTTGCATATATCCCTCCTTACAACTGAAGAAAACTTCAGACCTTAAAAAAAGAAATATGAGGCTAGGTAGTAGTGGCACACGCCTTTAACTCCAGCTTTAGGGAGGCAGAAGCAGGTGGATCTCTGTGAGTTTGAGGCCAGCCTGGTCTGCAGAGTAAGTTCCAGGACAGCCAGGGCTACACAGAGAAACCCTGTCACAAAATAAGAATAGCAATAATAATAATAAAGAAAAACGAAACTCTGCTTTAATGCACATGGTGTTGCTGGTGCTGAGAGCCTCTCTGGCCAGGGTCAACATACTTGACTACTTCTCCTCAGGTGATGTTTGTCAGCTGTGCAAGAGCTGCTGAGAAGCCCATAGAACTCACTAGCCGGAAGCACCTGAGCTCCATAATGGTTCACACAGGTCCCAAGACTCCTGCTGTTTCAGAAATGATCACCAGGACTCAGTAGAGGACTCCACTCTCCAGCCTCACTTCGCCTCCCTGCAAAGCTCCCTAGCCCTGGGGCTAACAGCCACCTCCCTTCACGTGCAATCACAATGGAATAACCACACTGGCATAGCTTCTGTTGAACTGTCCGTAGACGGACAGTGTCTGAAACTCAACCTTCCCTTCCCTGTGCTCAGGTACTTCGGAACACTAGCAGAAGCCAGGCAGTGCCTCCAAGAACCCAAGGGGAAAGCAACCTTGAACACAACAGGGCAACAACAACCCATTTGCCTTATGTTCTTCTCCACTCAGAGGTCCCAAGTATATGTGGTAAGTTGTCTCTACCCACGTCAGTGACCAGCTATGCCCAGGGGAGCATTTGCTGCTGCCTCCAGGGGCCAGAAGAATGGGTGTCGTGAACCAGAGCCACCCAGCACCAAAGCAACTTTAAAGAAGTTCAGTCTTTACACGATGCTCGAATCCCCTGATGATTTTATGCCTACAGGTGGCCAAGGTTGGTTTGAGTGACTCTCATGGCAGCCCTGCTTCTCCCTCCCTCTCTCCCTCCCTCCCTCCCTCCCTCCCTCCCTCCCTCCCTCCCTCCCTCCCTCCCTCCCTCCTTCTCTCCTCTCTCCCTCCCTCCTTCTCTCCTTTCCTCTCTCTCCCTCCCTCCATCTCTTCTCTCCTCTCTTTCCTTCCCTCCTTCTCTCCTCCCTCCCTCTCTCCCTCCCTCCCTCCCTCCCTCTCTCTCTCACTCAAAGCCACAGATACAAAAGCATTGGCAAATGATTAGTGGAAATCTTCACAGGGAACCAATAGCAGGCTCACCTCACTCATGGACAAAACTCTGCTCCTCTCCCAGTCCCTCGAGCCATCTCTGCCTTGTTCAAACTTTCCCTCTCCTCAGCAGCTGCCTCACTCCTGGCCTTTATCACACCTACCTCCATGGGCTCTCTTAGTCTCCGAGACCTGTGGAACCCAGCACACAAAACAGGAGCTAGCACACGACCCAGAGCCGAACAGAAGACCCGCAGGGCCAAGGGCAGTGGCTAGCACCTGGTCATCCCAGGGTGCTGTAGTGCACTTGGAGAAGCAAGCCGCCCGTGTTGTCCATTTCAGCTCAAATCTGCCTCCCTCTCAGCTTCCCTCCCCGAATCCAGCTTCTCCTTGGACCATCAAATAAGACTAATTTCTTTTCCCTTCAAGTATTTTAAAAAGCCATTCTGTCCCCAAGTTTCCTGCCCGCTAAGCTAAACACATCTTGTTTGCCATGCTTCACAGATCATGATTTCTTGTCCTCAATAAAACTAATTATACCCATGAAAAGAATACAGCTACAGGGGCTCCTGATCAGGAAGCCTTGATACAGGGAGAATTCTTTGCGACTAATTTACAGACACAATGCAATTCCAGGAAATAGCCCCGTGAGATTTTTTTCTCATAGTTCTATTTATTCATTCATGCTACATCTATTTACCAAGTACCTGCTGAGCTCTGCATGGAGGATCTGAAGATGTTCCTATGGTCTAGGGCAGCTACTCAGAAACCCAGACCAGAATTTTAGATCAAATGTAGGAATCCAGCATTACTAAAATAATCAGGTATCCCAGAGAGTACTACAAGATTCATGTCCTGCAGGACAGGGACTCAGTACCAGGTCAAGCTGGCCTGGATGGAAATGGAATAGAAAACTCGATGGAGGTGGGAAGAGAGGCAACCAGTTGATTCTTGAGCTGACAGACAAAGGTGGGAACATAAACGGGTTGGAGATTTAGCTCAGAGGCTTGCCTAGTAGGTACAAGAGGAAAGAACATTCCAGATGGAAGAAATACAATATACAAAGCTCCCGTGGAAACATGTTGCCTGGAAGAACCAAGTCAGGCTCATATGAGACACGAGAGCAAATATGATGGGCAGGAGGCAGGGGTCAAAGAAGCAGGGAAGCTGACAAAGGAGACACCATAGGCCATGCAGGACCTCAGGGTTAGGTAGAGGATCTTGTTTGGTTTGGTAGAGAATCTTGTTTGGTTTTTCCCTGAACAAGAAGCAAAGAAAATTTTGTTGTTTGATTGTTTGTTTGGATACATAGTGAGACAGACTGTATCCCAGACTGGCTTTGACCATGTTTCCTGGTGCCACAATCAGTGCTGGGATTGCAGCTGTATACATCATTGCAGCAGCTGCAGAGACAGTTCCGAGAGCAGAAGGATGGTGGCAGGTGACATGATTTATTTTCCCTGTAAACACTTGAGTTGGTTGCAGTGTGGAGGAAAAGACAAAATAGGTAGAAAGAGTTTAAGGACCCCAGGCAGGAGGTGACAACACTAGTTTACACAAGGCACTTAGCTATAGGACTTGGGAGTAGGGTGGGAAAGAGAGGAAGGAGGGAGGACCCTCAGGTTCCTGACCTGCATAAACCTTGGGTGGTACATAGCCCGAGATGGGTATGTGAGAAGAAACCAGCTCTTCTAGGGAGGGTAAAGGCAAGACATCTTGGTCTCAGACAAGGTATATTCTTAGCATCTTTGAACATCTGGCTGGAATGTGATGTCATTTGTTGGGAATCAGAGGATGGTTGGAAACAGAAGGAAGGGACTAAAGGTATCAACCTGGGAGTCATTTGCACATAAACAGCAAAATGAAGCTGGGGATTGTAGGCTGGACAGCCTTAAGATCTAGAGCAGAGAGAGGAGAGGACGGTCAAGTACTACCTGAAACAGGAAGCATGGTCTTGTAGACTTACTAGGAGGGTTGCACAACCTCATTCATGCAAACTGCTTGTAATTTCATAACCACTTATCATGTGCCATCCAGGCCAGGATTTTAATCTTAGCACTCAAAAGACAAAGGCAGATGTATCCTTGTGAGTTGGAGGCCAGTCTGGTCTATGTAGTGAGTTCCAGGCCATTCAAGGCTACATAGAGAGACCCTGTCTGAAAATAAGGTATAATACACAATTTGAAGAGACTATCAGAACTAGAGTCAGATGGCAGGATTGTTAAAATTATCAGACCAGGAATTAGAAACAAAAAAACAAACCCAACTGTGGGTTATATGCTAAAGACTTTAATAGAAAAAGATAGGTATGGAGAAATAGATAACTAATATCTAGGGAAATGGGAATTACACACACACACACACACACACACACACACACACACACACACACACACACACACCAAATTTGAGATTCAAAACACAAGACAACTGAATAGCCAGGCACGATGGTGCGCTCAGGTGTGATGGTACGCTCTTGTTGTCCCGGAACTCAGGATGTGAACGCAGGAAACAAAGCTTATCAGGTCAAGGCTGACTTAAACTACATGTCACTCTGTCTCACAGAGCAAGCAAGCAAGCAAAACCCAAAGCAGAATAACAAAGCCATACTGTGACAGAATAAAGAACGTCTTTGCTGAGAGAAACTTCCAAATACACCGGAGAGCTTGCTTTCATGTTATCCCATGTGTGGACAAGGTAGGACTGAAATACACCATCAGCTGCCTGTGGAAGAGACCTCAGAAGAGACCATGGATTTTTCACAACTTGATCTTTCATTTTCTATCTCCAGAACGCTTGTTGAAGCCACTTGGCCTGATTTTGTCATGCTAGATCAAACTGACTAGGATCAATAAATCACACCATTCAATGATGGCATATTCTACATTATTCCTAAGCTCGCATAGAACATTTACCAATAGCAGTAGACTCTGCAGAAGGAGAAGCACCTTAACAAATTTAAAAGACTAGAAGCCATATAATATTTGCTCTTAATAAATAATGAAATTATACTACAAACTAATAGCAAAACAATAGCAAGAAAATCCACAAAGTGACTGGAGATTAAACAATATATTTCTGAGTAACATGAGCCAAAGTGAATTCAAGAGAATTCCTTCCAAATTAAATATTGAGACCTATGTCTAAAAATTATAATATCCCTTGTTACTTATTTAAGTGAACTGACAGTATCTTTCCATACCAAAATAAACCTCCTAATTATCTGAGTGTTTATAGCAGCTTCATTCATAATTACCGAAACCTGGAATAATCCAGAGGTCCTTCAGTGGGAAAATAGACAAACTGAGGTATATACCCAGATACCAAATGTATTCAGCTCTGAAAAAAAAACAGTGTTTAAGCTGTACAAAGGCATGGTGGACATTTAAATGTACCTCACTAGGCTAAGATGGTGACCTGGAAAGGTTATGTGGTATATGACTCCAAGTCCATGACATTCTGGAAAGCAAATATTGCAGCTGGTAAAAAGATCAGTGGTTAGCTGGGTGGTGGTGGCGTATGCCTTTAATCCCAGCACTCGGGAGGCAGAGGCAGGCGGATCTCTGTAAGTTCGAGACCATCCTTGTCTACCAAGTGAGTTCCAGGACAGGCTCCAAAACAATACAGAGAAATCCTGTATTGAAAAACAAAAACAAAAAAAAAAAACCAAAAAAAGATCAGTGGTTGCTACAGTCAGTGGAGAGACGGGCACATAGAACACAGGGATTTTAAGGCAGTGAAACTATTCTTTGTGATATCGCAGCGGTGAATTAGTGGCATTTTATACTTGTCAAAATCTACAGAATGTGCTGCACTAAGAATGAAGCCTGCTGGATGGCGGTGGCGCACACCTTTAATACCAGCACGTGAGAGGCAGAGGCAGGTGGATCTCTATGAGTTCCAGGCCAACCTGCTCTACAGAGTGAGTTCCAGGACAGCCAGGGCTACACAGAGAAACTATCTAGAAAGAACACCCCACCACCACCACCAAAAAAAGAAGTCTGATGGCCCTGGAAGATATGCCCAGGAAATTCTCAATGCATTCTTGGCTAAGAGTCCCAGGTTCTCTCTGACACATGGAAAATGCCATGTCTACACCATGACTACAAATACATGGCCACACCATCACATGGCACATTTCCCTGAATTCTAGTCTGTTTGGCTTCCTGGAAACCCAAAAGAACACAGAGCAGCTGGCTGCTATTGCTTTTATCAAGCGTCAGAGATGAAGAACATGAAGCCCAGAGGAATCAGACAACATTCACACCGCGAGACTCCGGCAGGTCTCCTGGCTGCAGAGTCCGGTTTCTTCCTATGGGTCAGGCTATCCCCCAGAAACCTCATACATCAACAGAACCATCATGTCTCTGGGATACAGAATTCTTTCTATGTGGCCCCAAACTCCTCTGCCAATCTCTGATATAGAATAGGAGGGGATGGTATTGGGGAAAAGTATACCTACCCTATAGGTTAGCAAACTGAGGAAGAATAGCATTTGGGCACTGTGATTCTGTGTGGCCACACCGGGAGCAGTCTGGGCTCTGTTTCTGATCTAGAACGCATCACTGACAGGGAGTTCTCCTCCTGATGCCTGCTCCAAGCATCCTCCCCCACATCAACATCTGGGCTTGCACCTTACTTGTATTCTGTAGCTGCCAGCGACCCACTTCAGTGCTGTGGCATTAAGCGAGGTCTGTGTGCCCTGGGTCTCCGCTGCCCTAATTTCCAAGCTAAGACCTAGATAGTGTATCTAAATTTTCCTCGGGCCCATTTCTGCCCCAGATTCAACCTCTGTTGGCTAAGTCTCCTCTCCCCACCTGGGGCTGTGTCTCCCACTCCTTCCCATGCTGGGCCTCCCAAACCACCTGTCCTTAAAGTTTCTGGCAGTATCCCAAAGTCTTGCTCCAAACGCACAGGATGCTATGGAGAAAAGGCCAAACCCTAATGGGATCTAGGTGAGAGTGTGCAGACCTTAGGGCTCAACCTCTGGGGGAAGAGAAGTGTAGTCCTATGGTGAGGCCAGGTCAGGGTCCTACTCCCTCATCTGCCCTTCCTGGGCACCCGGCACACATGTGATACATAGACATGTGTGCAGCAAAAACACCCTTACACAAAATACTTTCTTTTTTTGAGACAGGGTTTCTCTGTGTAGCTTTGGAGTCTGTCCTGGCACTCATTCTGTAGACCAGACTGGCCTCGAACTCATAGAAATCTGTCTCTGTCTTCCTGAGTGCTGGGATAAAGGTGTGCACCACCACCGTCAGCCTAAACACTAAACCTCACTTTCAACTCCATACCTCCCAATTAAAATCTTGAGCCTTGTTTTTCTTTTATTTGTAATCAATGAAAAGACTCTAAAGTCTATTTGGAAGAATAAATGGGCACAGGAGGTGAAATTTTGGAAGAAAAACGAAGGTGGATTGTCCTAGTGGTTTGAAATTAAGCCATAATGTAAAGTTGCAAGAATCAAGTCATCTCAGTCTTGGTTCTTTCCACGGTTACCAGGCTCTTATCTTAAGCTGGGTGCTGTGACAGGACTTGGAGGGTTTGTGGTCTGAGGGGGCCTTGTGTTTCTTGACTTTAGGGCATGTGTTACAGTCCCATGAGGAATTCCTGAGCTGAGTCACAGCCAGGCACTGTGCTTCAGCTGATAGCCTCAGCCCTGTGGCTGGCCCGACAGAGGACAATGCAAAGGGACAATGCAAAGGAGCCTACATAGGCTTCTCTGGGCACCACTCTGCAATGCCAGGCCTCACCCATGCTGGAGTGGCCCATAATTAATGATTATATGAGCAGAGTGCTAAGAAGAAGTTAGTCACTCAGTACACACTGTACACACAGTATGTCAAGTACTTTCGATGCAAAATCTGCTTAATCTTTATAACATCCCCAAAAGGGTGGGTTTTATTATTTTTGGACAAAAATATCAACGTTCAAAGAGGTTAAGTAACTTGTCAGGGGCCATCCAGCTAGACGGGCTAAGGTCACATACAACCACAGCTCCAGGTTTCTGCTTGCCACATGCCCTGCCCTTCAGGTATGGGAATGGACTGGGCTCCAATGGCTCAAATGAGGCAAGAGTCCTCAGCCTGTGCTGAGCCTCCACGGGGCTCGCATTGTCAATGCCAACAGAATGAAGGGATCGCGGAGGTTCTCAAACCCCAACACTCTTATGGACCAGAAGCCCCCACCCCATAACTGAGGCCACCAAGCCACTTATGAAATGCTTAGATGGCTTTGTCTCTAAGACCTGTTCACTCATCCCTTTCTCTAGAGTTCACAGGAAAACTATGCTTCCCACCAAGACATTGTCATTTAGTGGCCTTGCTGTTCCATCCCATCTGAGGTCTCTCAGACAAGTGTCTGCATGACTAGTCCCCACCACCACCAGCACCATCCCCAAATGCAGTGGTTCTCAACCTCCCTAATGCTGAGGCCCTTTAATAACACAGTTCCTCATGTTGTGGTGACCCCCAACCATAAAATTATTTTCATTGTGACTTCATAACTGTAATCTCGCTACTGTTATAAATCGCATTGTAAATATCTGTTTTTCGATGGTCTTAGGCGATCCCTGTAAAAGGATTGTTCAACCCCCTGCCAAAGGGGTCGTGGCCCACAGGTTGAGAAACACTGCCCTCATGCCAGCCCTGCGGAGGAGTTGAGTCTTTCTGCACAGTCGCACTATGTGCTTACCTCTCTCTGCTCCCTCTGAAGGCACAGCTCTTCGGTCTCCTCCATCAGCTTGTCTGCCAAAGCAAGCACACACTCACTGGAAACAGCTCAGGGGTCCTGCGGGGAGGGGACCCAGGGGGCCTCTGCCACCTATGCCACCTCCCAGGGAAGAGGTCTGCTCTCCTAGCCAGGGGCGGGGTCCTGCCCTGCTGAACGGAAGCTGTGTCACTGGCCCCAGCGGCCTTTCAGGCCATCTTTCCTGTACTGCGCATCTATAGATCCACAGGAGACCTGCATGGAGGCTCAGGAGGGCCTTTGCCGCCTGTGGTCTCTGCGGCCTCCTCCTGCCTGGTTAGTCGGAGAGGGCACATTCCAGGTGAGGAGGGGCTGTGCTTAGAGCAGGGGGAGAGGAGCCTCAGAAGTCTCAGCTAGCTCCCAGGAAGAGGATCAAGCCATTCTCATCATCCCTCCCAACCAGGGAGGGGCCTTTAGCAGACAGTTCGAGCATGGGGCTGGCCCCTTGCAGCTCAGTTTACAGTGGGTCTGGTGAGGAGATGGAGAGGATAGGCACAGGACCCAGGGCTCAGGCAGGATGATGTTTTTTCCACTTTTAGATCCTTCAACTGAACGCCTGACACGTGCACACACCCAGGGATTTTTCCCTTTAAGCTGATCCCACCCCTCCTCTAACACTAGGGACCATTCCGGTCTCTGCTTTAAGGAGGGGGTAACTGAGGCGTATAGAGACTAGGTGGCCTACAGATCCACACAACAGATAGGCAGGTGACGGGGCTGGGTCTAAAGCCAAACTCCTGGCCGCTAGTCTCTCCTGCCTCTAGCTCCCTGGTCAAAAGGACATTAATCACACCGAGAAGTGCTCTAGGTGCCAAGCTCCTTCCAAGTCCCAGAGAGACCTCCCGGACCACTCCCACCAAGTCCCTCTTTCACCCAGGTCCCCAAGTGCTGCCATCAGGGACCTTCAGAGTCCAGTTCACCCCTGTAACCAACCTAAATATTCCTGCTTCTCCTTTGCCAGCTGCAGCCCCTGTGCCTCCAGGCTTTTGATCATAGCTTCTCCTAATTGGGCATTTTTCCAGGTCCTGGGGAGGGAAGACAGATGGGAGAGAGGGGAGGAGAGGAGAAATACAAACTTAAACCAGGAGGAAGGCCTGGGGAGAAGGAGATTGTGCATGTTCTGTATTGGCCTCTCCTCCACCCTGCAGAATCTCAGCTCAATCTGGCACCCAGGGCTCTGGGCACGCCACCAGCATTGATCAGTTACGGTAA